TTCGGTTTTAGCCATACGCCTAATTTTATGCTAATTAACTCGTCGGAATACAGAAGGTTTTTTTTTGTTAGTACATATGTTGAAACCGGACTTCATTTCTTATGTTAGAATTGATATTGAACAGTTTAGACTTGTATGCAGTTTCAATATCCCGATTTTCGTCTGTGTCTAGCTGAGTAGTTTACAGTCAAATTCCTTTGTAACTGCCAACACGATGTGATACTAAATTTGTGCAACCCCCAAACTAGGTTCTACTATCAAAATTTGTGGTCGAGAAAGCGGTACCCCGCACCGTAGTTTTTACGGAATGTGCCAAAGTTCTTGCAGCAATGAAACTCACACCGGACAGCGCGACCTCGACGACAGGACTACGGTCTCGTATCTTCGCCTAATTGAGGTTTTTGCCAAAGGACGAGGTCGACATAATATAGACGTCACTCCTCCTCCTTGGTTCTTTGTGACTTCTCCAAGTAGAGTTATGAGTTAAAGGGAGGAGCTGAGGTAGCCTGAGGAGCAGGAGGCCCCCCATCACTGGGTTTACTTGAAAACAACATAATCGAAATAAAACAATTATTTATTTAATTTAATTATTTTTTTTATTTATTTATAAATAATTTGTATTGGTTTTTCAGTTGAATTATACTTAAAGTTCAGGGTAATCAACTGTTAAAAACATACTGTTCAGATTTTTCTTTTCAATTAATTGATGTTTTCAAAGTAAATGGATAATCGTTTTTAATAATCGTGATATCAATTATTGACCCAAATAATCGAGATTATGATTTTTGCCATAATCGAGCAGCCCTAGAAGACATTAAATATTTGAGATTTTGTGCCTACACATTTCAGTTATTTTCAGGCCTTTATGACGAAGTATTTTGAAGAAGAAACAAAAATATTTGTAATCTCTGGCCAAATGATTGCAGCTAAAGAGGGTAACATTGCTTTGCCAGCATTGCTCGCTAAAGCTACACTTTAAACGTCTACATTATGATTGAATGATTCCCTATTTTGTGTCTTCACTAGACCACCCTCACCTCATTGGTCAAACTGCTGAAAGGTCGACCTCATCTCAGCCAATCAGCGGTGGAGTTCCTGCTCGGTCAGCTCCATTTGTCCTGCGACTCCTCTCGTGTCCTCATGTGCCACGCTCTGGCCGCCATCGCCACCCACCTGCCCGTGCTGGGTGACGGGATGCTGGGGGACCTGGTGGACCTGTACAGGGTAGCCAGCCACTCCTCCACTGACAAGCAGCAAGAGCTTCTGGTGAGGGACTGCATCAGGCATCAGCTGCTGCTTGGACTGAAGATATAAGAGGACATGTCACCCCAAACTGTACCTTAAAAGAAAATGTAAAAACTCTAAACTCTAGTGCTATGTAGACTGTTTTGGTGTGAGTTGCTGAGTGTTGGAGATAACAGCCGTAGAGATGTCTATCTTCTCTTAAATATAATGGCAATACATCATTCAAAGACCTTGATGTGAGCATTTTAATGTAGAAGCTTTTTTGTTTCTAAAGCACACCCTCGTAAACAAGAGAACACAAGCCTCTCGTCCTTAAGCAGATACAAGCTTACTTATTCGCAGTGATACAAAGAAAAGACTTTTCTCACTTTGAGCACCAAAAGCTGCTCAACATCTAGTTCCATTTGTTCCAGACATGGCCGACATCTCCACGACAAACCTTTTAAGAAGAAATTGTTATATCTATGATCGGCCCAGGCACACCTGTTTTCAATAACAAATTGAGCTTTTTTAGCTAAAGATAACTGCTAGCCCACAACTATGTTAGAATAGCTGACATTGCATTCAGCTCTAAAATATGTTCTGGTTCCTATACTTTAATGCCCTTGTATTTCTCTGAATTTGGATTTCAACACTCATCTCTCCCTCTGTGATCGCTGCTGCAGGTTTCCTTGGCAACAGTGATTTTTGTTGCCAGCCAGTCGTCTCTGTCAGCCGAAGTGAAGACGGTCATCAAACAGCAGCTAGAGAATGTAGCAAACGGCTGGACGGTGTACCGCATCGCACGACAAGCCTCACGCATGGTAATCTCTTATGCTCGTACAATTCAAGACATAAAATGGATTAACGTTTAAGGCTTTGTACAGTTGCTTAAGGTCTAACCAGGCAACAGTATCTAAATGTTTGAAATAAAAGGTTGCTAATTACTGCCAAATCTTGCACATGACCCATAATGAAATGTTATCGTTAATCTGCAGGGATGCCACGAGTTCTCCAGCGAGCTGTACCAGAGTATGCGCACGCGTGTGGCGTCGGAGCACTTCTACTTCTGGCTGAACAGCCTGAAGGAGTTCTCCCAGGCAGAGCAGTGTCTGAGTCACGTGGAGGACGGAGACTACAGTGGAGCCATGACCGCCATCGCTGAGGCGCTGCGCTCCTACCAGAAGGGCATCGCTTCTCTCACAGTCAGTCCACTCTCAGGCTTCTGCATGTCCAAAACATGAATACAATTCTTCCTCTTACGTCATCAATAAATAATGCTTAAAGGGATCGTACCAGCTCGAAGCTGAAAATGTATTACTGTGGACGGAGGCGGCAACAAAACACATTTGAACCACCTAAAAGAAAGTATATCGGTTTGAATGTGCGCTATACTTAGTACTCTGGTATCACCTCAAGCCGTTATCTATACTTTCTTCAAAGCAACCAGACTCTTTCATCTTGCAGAACAAGGAAGCTGCCATATTACCAATGCCTCAGTCGATGATTTTGTGTTATTGTGTGACTTTTGTGTTTTAAAAAGGTAAGTCCTGATTCACCAAGGTCACACAAAAACAAATGAACAGTAAAAGACCAGCAACCCCTGTGTTCTACAAGGTTCAATTATTGTTCTTGTCAACGGAGTCTGGTGGCTTTGAATAGAGCTTAGATAACGGCTTCAGTATGAACCCAAAAGGGAGTACTGTAGGCAATACTCTATTAACAAGTGCTTTGTACAGCCATCCAAGCTAACCCTTTAACCTGCTGTTATTCAGAGCAGACTCGTGTTATCACAGCATCTCAAATCGCTAACGGATTAACTTCCCTTAAACCTGAGTGTATTTTGTTTCTGTTAACGAAATGAAGAACAGTGCCATTATTCAGCGGTAGTGTGTATGTGCTCTTATCTGACTTCTCTCTCCCTGCAGGCCGCCAGCACCCCTCTGAGCCCGCTCTCTTTCCAGTGTGAGTTCATCAAGCTGCGCATCGACACCCTGCAGGCCCTGTCGCAGCTCATCTGCACCTGCAACAGCCTGAAGACCAGCCCCCCCCCCGCCATCGCCACCACCATCGCCCTGGCCTCAGGCAACGACCTGCAGCGCTGCGGCCGCATCGCCATGCAGGTAAAACTCTGACAGTGAGGTACAAACACTCAGGATGTTTCTCACCAAAAGGCTAAAGGGTCGGGCTGCAGTTATTCATTGTTTTTATTATCAATCAATCAGCTGTTTTACTCAAAGGCCAGGGTCTTTTCTCAAATGTCTTATTTTGTCAGCACAGAGAGAAAAGCAGGAAATCCCCATATTTGAGAGGGGGAACAACTTCTGACATGTTAGGAATCAGGACTCATTTGAGGATTTGAGATGTTGGTAGTATAAATGAACAAAATGTACTTACTCATCAAGTCAATGTGTTTTTTTTCTTTTTTCCCAGATGAAGGTTTGCATGGATGAGTTCAGAAGTCTCGCAGCTCGATACGCTGATTTGCACCAGTCGTCGTTTGACGCTGATTATGCCACCCTGCGTAACGTGGAGCTGTATCCTCAAAAAGTCACATCACACTTTTAAAAGTATTTTTGTCAACCCTGCTTTCTCTGCTGTGATGTCTCCTTTCTATAATGTTGTCATTTCTCTTTAACTGCTGACTGCTCAGACAACAACAGAGCTGTTTGCTCGTCTCTCACGTTATAGAGGCTCTGATACTGGACCCTCAGGCAGCAAGGTGAGAGCCACAAAGTTCATTCATTTGTTTGGTGTAGGACAACGTTTAAAATATTAATTGGTCTAGAATTGATGTTGTATCTTTTGAGAAAATATATTTAGTGTGAAATTATGTCTATGTATTTGATAATCGGGACTAGACAGTTTTTGCTGGCTTAATAAGTGGGGGAAACACTGATTTTGGGGAAGACGGCCATAACAAAAGGAACAATTGTCAACTTATTTGTAATAAATTATATTGATTTTGTCAAGGGGAGGCGTGTGGCGCAGTGGTTAGTGCGTTGGTGTTCGGATCAGGGGGGCACAGGTTCAAACCCCACTGCAGTCAGCATGTCGTTGTGTCCCTGAGACACTTCACCCAAAATTGCTCCTATGAGGATTGCCCACAGTATTGAGTATGTAAGTCGCTTTGGATAAAAGTGTCTAACAAGTAATGTAATGTCAAGAATCGTGATTTAACTATTTCAGCATGATGTATGGATGTGGCTTTTTCGTAAACCGCACATTAGACATGGATGACAACTAATCCAAATCTTCTGCATCTTTATAAATCTTTCTTCTAAAAAGGTTTTTCACTGTACCGTGTACTTGAGTGTTTTCTGTAGAAAGTGCTTTGCGGTAACACACATCATCCCGGGAGGCTTCTCCTGGCAGACGTTTGTCTGTAACAGATTGTGTCTCTCTTCCTGTAATCTAGCTTTCAGGAGTACGGCACCCTGGGCTCGGTTCAGACGGAGAGTGAATATGAGCGCCGGATGATGTCGGTCTTCAGTCGAGTGTTGGAGGAAGTGGAGGGTCTCACCAAGAAACACCCTCCTGTCTCACACCTGGTGAGATTTTATTCTGGGTTTCTAACTTTTAAAAGCTGGTTTCGTATTTTAAATGATACGGTAAAGGTTTGAAATATACCTGAATGTAAATATAATCCTTCTAAAATGCTTCAATCACTCAAATTAACTACATTTTTTAATATTTGAAATCCAGTCCTCTTTATTTTTGGTTTAATTGCTTGAATTCTGCTCTTCAAAAGCGGTTTAATCATGACCATATAATAACAAAAATAATATTTAATACCTTTGATCACAACATTTTCTAATGCTGACTGACTCATGCTCTGCTTTAACTTGTGTTATACATATAGAACAGTGTTTCTGAAACTTTAAGGACCACTTAACCAATAAAAAAACACTCGCGGACCACCTAACTCCACAAATATACAAAAACACATCGTTTTTCTAGAACAGATTACAAATTGCCTGGAAATGGTACAAACAAGTGGCAACATGTGTGACGAAGGTGTTGCGCTGGGCTATATCATGCAATCCAAAGTAAATGTAAGCTCGCTCCATTGCGGAGATATTCCCGCGAGAGTGCGGAAAACTTAAATGTATTTATTTATTTCAAATGTGAAATTTTACCGATATACTCACGGGCCACCAATTGTCCGTGGACCACACTTTTGAGAAGCACTGATTAGAGCATGTGTTGAGTGTTTCTTTCTAAATAATTGCTTTCTTTATTTAAGTTTTTTCTTAACTGGGTATTCAGAAGAATAAATGTAACTTGGTTAAATGAAATGTCCTAAAGTGTCAATATTGACGATGTATTGTTTGTTATTGTTTCTCAGCATACAGGTTGCCTCTGTGACGCCGTCATAGCTTTGCTCAAAGTCCCGCTATCTTTCCAGAGGTATTTCTTCCAAAAGCTCCAGTCAACAAGCATTAAGGTACAGCAACTTATAATTATTATATTAGACAATTACTAAAAATATACATCCCTATTCTCAATTAAATATGCCAAACAGAATATGATGCAGTAGGAAATGATAAAGAGTTTACTGTGTATATACTAGTTATAAATGTACATGTAACTCATGTATGAAGCATGCATGTATTATTTCTCTCTTCTTTAAGGGAAAAAATGCAGTACAAGTTTAAACATTATCTTTGTGAAGTTTTATTAGATTGAAATATCCTCAGGACAACATAAATAATGCCCTTGGTTGTTCATGAACAGAAGGAAGAAGGGGGAAGGCACACCTGTTAACTCTGATGCTTTTATTTGACCTAATAAACTTTTTGGCAAACTCCCTTCAAACCTATCTTTAGATTATATTAGGGCAGGGCAACATACAGCACAGTTTTCAGCTACTTATATGTATGACAGTCTTTCTTCAACTCTTTTTTAAGCTCACGCATTTAATATTTGATTTTTCTCTCCAGCTCGCCCTCTCTCCGTCCCCGCGGACGCCCAGCGAGCCGATCCCGGTGCAGAGCAGCCAGCAGCTGACTCTGAAGGTGGAGGGCGTCGTGCAGCACGGCTCCACACCCGGACTCTTCAGGAAGATCCAGTCCGTCAGCCTCAATGTCACTTCAGTCCTGCAGAGCAAGACGGGAACCGACCTCAAGGTATCCAGTGATTTCATTCATCTTTGGTTATTGCTCAATAATGCAAATATTTCAGAATAATAGAAAAATCTTTAGTCCCTTTTTTATATTGGGCTGAGCATTATATCCACATCATGTCGATATTGGGACATTAGGATAGATACGTCTTATCATTCGTATATCATCATATCCTAACATTACAAACAGTAAGTCATGTATTTTCCAGGTTTAAAGGCTGCATTTCAAAAAGTGATGTCATTTTCTGAATTTAACAGATTCTTTAAATGTTTTTTTAGTCCTTTTGTTCACATTGCTGGTGATTATTTATCAAAATTATCAGTATAATTATTTGGGAAACCACCAAAACTCAACCCTACAGTATCAATATCGAGATATCGGATAAAAGAAAATGCCGATTTGATTTTACTCCATACTACTCTATGTTCTCTGGTTGTTTTTATATTACAGAGAAAATTGCTTCATTCCATGTATAAAGCTCATATTGGGTATATGCAGTGCAAGTACATCTACATACCTGTACTGTATTTATCAACAGATCATGCTAGCTCTGGCGTTTGTACTTCCATTTGTTGTTGTGTTGCTGCTCTAATAATGATAAGAACAAACATATCTGTCTTTTCCCTTTCCAGATTCCACTCGACAGTAAAACCAATGAGATCGAGCAGCGTGTTGAACCCCACAACGACTACTTCAGCACTCAGTTCCTGCTGAACTTCTCCGTGTTGGGCACCCACACCGTCACTGTGGAGGCCTCGGTGGTGGACGAGAGTGGCATCGAGTGGAAGACGGGGCCCAGGACCACGGTGTCGGTCAAATCTCTGGAGGATCCGTACTCTCAGCAGCTCCGCCATCAGCTGCAACAGAATGCCGCTCAGCCTGCTCCACAGAGGAGTGCATACGCCCGCTTCTAGCCAATATCCTCAGTGCTTCACCGTCAAAAACAGGTTAAGCTTGTGTACTTGACCTTGTAGAAACTGAGTTTGTACATATTGTTTTTCAACGATTAAAAGATCAGATTTAATTTTCATGCTGCACTTTGTTTGTAATCCTTTCAAATTAATGTTGAGCGGGTGAGGGTGATGATGGTGAAGATTTTCAGTAGGGGTGCTCCGATCGCGAGAGTCTATCGCATTACGTACAATTATGACACTTTTCTCTGTGCGCGGCAAAACAAGCTCGCCAAATTGGCTTCACCGGTCTGGCAGTATTTTAAGGTGTCCGAAAATGACAATAAAATAGCGGTATGCAACGTGTGTGAAGCAGAAATCCTGCAGCTCCACCCGCTGTGGCGGACCAGTGAGCGGAGCGAAACACACGCTAAGAGTTAGACCAAACAAAACACTTAGCTATTTTATCTACCTCTGGGACTAGCAAAACTAGTTACAAATATATGTATTCTTCACTGTCGGGTCACTCATTACTGGATCAGTGAGCTGCATGAGATACTGACAGGCTGTCAGGAGAGATGTTATTATCTAAAGTTAATGTAAACTTGAATAATGTACTTCATTTGAATATAATAATTATGTTGGTTGTTTTTTGTGGAAGCGCTCCAGAATGAGCCCCATTTAACTGAGTTTTAAACATCACTTTAAATGGAAGATCCCCATAGGTCCCACCCACTCGATCGGATCGGCGATCGGTATTGGCCGATACTGATTTTGGCGATCGGCCCCAAAATCGGCGATCGGAGCATCCCTGATTTTCAGCATCAAATCAAGGTAGGTCACAAGTGGAAAAAAATGTACAGTGGACACTGGATTTACAGTGTAGTCTATTCTGCATGAAGTGTAATGGCATAAAGAGCCATCAGGGGGCACACAATAGTCATTAACTGGTCATCATTGTGTGAGCACAAATATCTCTCATGTCAATTCCAGACTTGTCAAATCATTCAAATGTTAGTAATTATGTGTATATTATAGTTTTATGTGTGAATACCTTCGATGCAACATTCAATTTCACCAAGCACAACTACTTTTCCTGGTATTTCGCCCTATAATTAAAACAGTTTGACTATCTTGGAGGCGTGTGGCGCAGTGGGTAGAGCCTTGGTGGTGGGATCAGGGGTCGAAGGTTCAAACCCCACTGCAGTCAGCATGTCGTTGTGTCCCTGAGACACTTCACCCCAAATTGCTCCTGTGGGGATTGTCCACAGTATTGAGCATGTAAGTCGCTTTGGATAAAAGCGTCTAACAAGTAACGTGTAAGGTAATGTAATCTCAAATTCTTCCAACATAACAGCATGATGCAAACTCCAAAAGCCCACACTGTTTCCGGTTAAAATTAAAGTAAGTACATCGATGTTTACGGTGAACTCACGCATCCATACCGATGATGATGTAACCTGTGAACGACTCACGGCGGCCGGGAATGAGTCCAGATTATTTAAAATGAAGTCAACGTTTAGTCACTACATGAGCAAAGCAGCTTCTTTTTTTATATAGATACTGAAGCCATCAGCACTTGACATCAGAGTCTGCGCATTTAAAGCTGGCGTCAGGTGAACGCGGGAGCGTCAAGTGAGAAGGATTAAAAAGTAAAAGCTCCGCACCTGGTTTTCAAAATAAAACTTTTGCTTAACACACTGCATTTGTTTACAATATATATATATAAAAAAAGAAACATAGCCTACATCAGGTTTAATGTAGTGGAAAAAATAATATATATACATAATAATATAGTATGTATTTGTGTCTTTTATTATACTGAGCTGATTTCGAGACCTAGACCCTTGCCTATGCTTTTATTTTGAAGGCAAAGTGAACTCACTTCCGCTCTCACTCTCGTGGTCTTTTGTGTACATTGACGCTGCTGAGAATCGAGCTCTAGAGAAAGATAACGGGTCCTGCGAGTCTATAAACGAAAAAAATCTCAGCTCTCTGTATTACATGAGCATATGTCGTGTATAGTTTGTGTTTGCGTTTATTTAACCGTCAGCGTTAACCCAACCCCCGGATCCGAACTATCCTCCATCTTCGCTAATGGGAGCCGCCGTGTAACATTAGCTAGCTAACCTGACGATGATGATGATGAGGATGATGATGATGCATCGGAGGATTTATCCCGGTGTCTCTGACTGAGATGGAGCCAGCGACACTCTGCTGCTTGCTAGCTAGCTAGCGAGCTAACGGAGCCCGCCGGGGTCCACGGTGCAGCCGAGCCGCCCTGAGAGAGCCTGATGGGTGCTGCTGCAGCTTCGCTTTCACACATCTCCACCCGGGCCAGAGACATTTCAGAGACCATGTACACTGGCACAAAGATGCTAACATAACCGTTTAGGTTAGCCACACGTGACATAGTTTATCTCGATCCAGCATTTAGCTTAAACCCCTGGCCGTCCTTGGATGCTTCATTGACATTTACTGGGTGAGTACCAGGATTATTACTACATTATAGGGTCGGGCTATATTCTGGAGGAGGCGAGCGGATATTGCGCTTTGCACCAGCCTCCAGACATCCGAGTTTGGTGAAATACCTGCACACTCCAGCTTATTACATACTTCTATTATTTATGTTAGAGTGATTTACAATTATGTCATAACCCAGGGTTGTCATACCGGTCATATTTCTTTACATATGTTCCCGTTATGCTAACTCCCTGCTGCTAGCTAGCATGCCATGAAGTGTACCACCACGTCCCGGGCGACTGGTCCTTTTATGGTCCTGTCTATGCATGCATTACTGTAAAGACTAGGCAGCTAGCTAGCAGAAAATCACGAAAAATCACAGTTCATGATAAAACCCTTTGAATAAAAACCACAAGAGAGAGTCCACTACCAGTGTGTTGCAATTCGTGGAATAGCCTCACCCTTAACCGGTTAGCGGCAGCCTCACTCCATTAGGTGTTAGTATAAACCAAGGTTTGTTGTGGATGTTATTTGCACATCATTCTGTTTATCGTAAGGATAATGTTGTGTACACACACACATGACTCGTCCTTTATTGGTAAACCAAGCCTAGCCGAGATACTAACAGCTGTGTCTCTGTGTTGCAGACGGTGTGTTTCAGGATGGCACAGCTCTTGGACGGGGCCGGCAAACTGGGCTGGGTTCTGCTCAAGTCTGTGATCCGTTTCTTGTTTATGTTGTGCAACAACTGTGTAGCCATCCCATCCTACTGTTTATACCTGCTGCTTCTCCAGCCACTTAGAATATGGGACAGCCCGACTTTCTGGTACATCGAAGGACTCATGTTCAAATGGATGCTGGCCATGGTGTCTTCATGGGGCTGGTTCGCAGGTTATACAGGTAAGATACTTTATGATGTACACACACAGCCATTGTTCCACATGGTGCCTCGCATGCAAAGGTATTTTTGCATGCCACACTAAATGTTATACAGGTTACTGATGAGTAAGACTGAACAATATTGCTTTTGATAGATCCTTTAGTTATAAACCGGTAACAGCCATAGTGATGGGCATATGTTTCACTGAAAAGCCTACAAGGTTTTGCAATGACATTAACCTCTGTGCTCAAAGACTCTTCTCTGTTGGCTCAATAAATGTTTGTTTACTACTCGATTAAAAGTTACAAGGCTGTTTTTAATCCAACCAAATATGGTAGTTAGCAACACATCCTTTTATTTAATCTTCACAACATTAACCAACATATAATTATAGGTTATGTTTGAGTTATGGATGCCTTTTGATAGTATTCGTTGTTTTCATATAAACCCCTACGCTAGTATTTATCTCGTGTTGTACTAAAGGAGAAAGCACGTATGTAGTATTTTTTGTGATGCAGCTAACACATTATTTTTCATCCATGTGGTTAGAAGAGTCTTTTGAACATTCATTTTGAACATCAGGAACCTTTGTCAGACAACCCTTTTGCCTTTCTAACATCGCAACGAATATATGTTTTTCACAGAAACCTTGGTTTACACCATTGACTACAATCTCAATACAAGAGACGCACACATTAAGCTCAGGTTCAGAAACAGGGTTAGGACAGATGGTTGAATGATAGTTTGCAGTTGCACTTTGTTCCTCTTTCAATGGGGCATTTCCATATAATAAAGCAGTGTGCTTCTTTAGATTAGATTACACTAGATTAGATATACTGTTGGTCCCACATTTGGAACCTGTCATAACATTGGTTGCAATTCTCCCCTTGAAAAGATTGTTAAGCCTGTTCCTGTTTGTATAGCTAAATACTGTACGTCCACCTTTTTACTATTGCTGCATCTGTCACTATTAAGCATTCAATGCATTAGTTGCAGAGCTGCAAGGATTAGCCCATTCATTGATTTGTTCATCACAACATAATTAAACAATATTGTGCGTTGATGATTTCTTCAATGTGATATTGAAGGAGCAATACCAACATTAGCTCTTTCCAGTTGCTCAAATGTGAGTTATTCGATTAATTATGTCTTAGAAGTAAAAGGTTAAGACGGTTTGAACGTGTCCCGCTGGTGAAGCATTTTTTCACGTTTGTTCTTATGTCATAGAGAAAGTGAGAAACTTGTGTGCGGAGTGATCAAGAATGACGCCATGAGAAATTGTGTTTAGTGATAAGGTACAGAGACTGTATGACAAACGCACATAATTGACACGTATAGAAGAACAGCTGGATATAACGAGTGTTTGTGGTTTCCTCTCAGCTGAAGTGATTCAGCGGTGTTTGGTTGCTCAGAGCAAAATGCTTACAAATTGCTAAGTGGTGAACATGGGGAGCAACAAGGTGTGCTGATTAATAATGCAACGCGTTCAGCCTATAGAACACCTGGTGTTGCGTTGAGTAATTATATGTGTTACTTTGATTGACAGTGTGTGGAAGTGGGTTGATATCAAATAAAGCATACACTGTCACTTTGATGCTATTCATACAAATGGTTAACTACAATTCAGTCTGAAGAGTCATCAGATGTTATGCATTTCTTTGCAGCTATAGTGCGTCATAACTCAGTTTCTAGCCAACGAAAAGGTACCGGGCCACATCATTATTTTAAATGTCACTTCAATGAAACACAACTTTTTTTTAGCCACGGGATAATTGATGGTGATAAGTTCAATGTT